AAGGTCTCCCCTCAGCCTCCTCTTCTCCAGGCTGAATAACCCCAGCTCCCTCAGCCTCTCCTCATCAGACTTATTCTCCAGACCCCTCACCATCTTTGTCGCCCTTCTCTGGACGTTGTGCTTTAGACAATTATTCCATCACCCCATGACCCCTCCCCAGCCAGGAAGAGGAATTGGGGAAAAAAACCTGCTTTAGCAGGGGAGTTGGACCAAATGATCTCTAGAGGTCCCTTCCAACTCTTGACAATTCCATGATTCCGTGAACCAAGGAAACCTGACGATTGAAATATAAACAGATTTAATAGAATACTACTAAAGAATTAATATTAATAATATTAAAGAGCAAATATTGATCAGGATCATACCTTGATCACACAAGGATCATACCCAGCCCATTCTATCCCAGGAGGCTGGTCCCTTCCTGCAGGGACAGCCCATGTGGGACCCTTTGAGACCCCTTTGGGAGAAAGGGAAGGGCTCCAGGACCGGGGCAAGGAGTTCTCAGGGTCTCAGCCATCAAAGGAGAGAGAGAAACCCCTCAGCAAACTTTCCAATTTCTATTGAATGTGACATTTGTGGTATGAAATAATCCCGGTGGCAGCTTGGGGCAAGTGGTCTCGCTCCTCCTCATCCCCACACCGGAGATTTTTGAATCCCACCCCCCAGAGCTGGCTGTAAAGTAACTATTTTCACCAATTCTGACCAGAGTGTGATTTCCCCAATTCCCCAAAGCATTAGAAGAGGAATTAGCCCCGTGTTGCTCAAAGCAGGACACCGGGCAAGGTGGTCCCCCCCTGGTTTCTTGGAGGATGCTGGTGGGGCTGGGGCTGAGAGCTGGTCTACCCAACCAAGGTGAGGGAGAAACAGGCTGTGGGGCTGTGTTTGCAGCAAAAACTGATCCTGATCATGCTGTGCCCGGGCATCTGGGCACCCACAAGCCTGGGGAGGGCTCCTCTCCAGCCCAGCTCCCTCCTCCTGCCTGCCCCAGAGGAAGAGGAGGAGGAGGAGAGGTGGAGGGGCACAGCTTTGCCCCTCAATACCAGCCGTGGGGATGTCCCGGGGTGCAGAGGTTGTTGCTGCGATTTTCCTGGCCCCGGGGCTGGTTTCCTCATTGAAGGCAGGATGATCTAATGCCTGAAGGTGTGTGTGGGGGGGTGTGTGTGTTGGGAGGGGGGTGAAACCCTCACCCCTCTGCAGGGGCATCACCAGGACTGGGGAGGGGGGAGCTCCTGCTGCTGGTCCAGGGCTGCAAAGGGGCTTTTTACTGGGCTGGGAGGAAGGAATGGGCTGTGAGGGGCTGCTGGGGGGGGTCTGCCCCCTCCTGCCACCCCTGTGCTGCTCTGCCAGCACCCAGCTGGCCCCAGACCCGGGGAGGAGGCAGAGCCAGCATCAGTTTAACAGTATAGATCCCTTTAATGGGCTTAGGACTGGCTCCGCGTGTGGAAGCTCTTAAATCCAGCTTCATCTGGTGCAAAACCGTCTGGACCAGAGCCCTTGAGCAGGGGCACAGACCTCAGAAGGGCTTGTGCCACCAGACGGGGACCTCGGCCACCCACAGCACTGAGTGTTGGCCTCTTGGCCGGTGATTTGAGCCTTGGGATTCCCTGTTCCTCTGCTGGTTCCTCACCCCGGCTGAAAAGCACCTCCTGTAGTGGGTCGAGCCCAAAGGGTTGGTTTGATGGAGCCTGTGGAGGAGCCTTCATCCCCAGCAGCCACAACAGGCACAGGTCTGTGACCTCCCTCCTGAGCTGGGACTCAAGCTGGAGGAGGTGGTGGTGGGGCTGGGGGGAGCTGTACCCCAGCACTCAGCCCCCACCTTGGGTGAAATTGCCTTCAAATCTGGGTCAGCACCGAGAGAAAAAGAAAAAAAAAAAAGAAGAAAAGAGAGAGAAAACCAGCCCAGAGCAGGAATTACTGCTTAATTGTTTTCTACCCCTCATTAGCAGCCTTCATTCAGCAGTTTCTGAGGGCTTTGCAACCATGAATGAGGGATGCTTTACTGCTTGATGGGTACTCCAGGACCTGTACCTGGAGGAGGAGGAGGAGGTGGGAAGAGAAGTGATTACACGGAGTCTTAAGGAGGGGTGGGAGCTTTGAGGAGATCCAGCAGCTCGTAGCTTTAACCAGCAGACACCAAGTGAGTGTCAAAGCCACGAGGAGCCCAGGGTAGACCCCAAATTTCTGCCTCTTGGCAAAGGTGATGCTGTTCCTCTCCCGTCCAGCCCCTGGGCTGCAGGAGCCAGGCTGTCCCTGCCATTAAGGAGGACTGATTTCACTCCGGCCTCATTCCTGGAGGTTAATTGCATCTCCGCGAGCTCAAGAAAAGTCCACTGCCCTTTTAATGCTCAGTAATTTTCCTAGCAAGCAGCAGGGTTCAGCTAGTATTTAATTATTTATTACATTGGCAAAGCAATATACCGGGAGGTTACAGTGTTTCCTAAATGCACTTTAATAAAGGTGCTATTTGTCATGGGAACGTTAGGAAACCCAGGGAGGTGAAGGGTTTGGCCTGAGGCAGGAGGACTTGGATGGTGTTTCCTTCCCACCCTGACCAGCAGCATCATCATCATCAGGGGCTGTTCCCCCCCCACCCCGTGTAGCATCACCCCACGTCACCCTGAGGGTGGTGGCGAGGCCAGATGCAAGGTGATGGGCTCCACAGCTGCTGGAGACATTGTCCCATTGGGGTGTCCCTGCCTGGCCACCTAGCTCTGCCTGCCAGCCCCCCAGATTTCCAAGGAGGAGCGTTGAGGAGCTGCTGGGCTTGGAGCAAGCCCTCCCCTCCTCTTAACGAGCTTGTTTTCCAGCGCAGGGTTTCAAGTGGCTCCTTAATTACCCGGGATAAATGCTGCTGCCGTAGGCTAATAATAACTCGGTAGAGCGTGGGCTGGAGTGGTCCAGGCTGCTGAGGACCATCCCTGGAGTGGTCCAGGCTGCTGGGGACCATCCCCAGGACCGGTCCAGGCCGCTGGGCACCATCCCTGGCATGGTCCAGGCAGGCACCTGGACCAACCAGGCTGCTGGGGACCATCCCTGACCAGCCCAGAGCAGGAATTACTGCTTAATTGTTTTCTACCCCTCATTAGCAGCCTTCATTCAGCAGTTTCTGAGGGCTTTGCAACCATGAATGAGGGATGCTTTACTGCTTGATGGGTACTCCAGGACCTGTACCTGGAGGAGGAGGAGGAGGTGGGAAGAGAAGTGATTACACGGAGTCTTAAGGAGGGGTGGGAGCTTTGAGGAGATCCAGCAGCTCGTAGCTTTAACCAGCAGACACCAAGTGAGTGTCAAAGCCACGAGGAGCCCAGGGTAGACCCCAAATTTCTGCCTCTTGGCAAAGGTGATGCTGTTCCTCTCCCGTCCAGCCCCTGGGCTGCAGGAGCCAGGCTGTCCCTGCCATTAAGGAGGACTGATTTCACTCCGGCCTCATTCCTGGAGGTTAATTGCATCTCCGCGAGCTCAAGAAAAGTCCACTGCCCTTTTAATGCTCAGTAATTTTCCTAGCAAGCAGCAGGGTTCAGCTAGTATTTAATTATTTATTACATTGGCAAAGCAATATACTGGGAGGTTACAGTGTTTCCTAAATGCACTTTAATAAAGGTGCTATTTGTCATGGGAACATTAGGAAACCCAGGGAGGTGAAGGGTTTGGCCTGAGGCGGGAGGACTTGGATGGTGTTTCCTTCCCACCCTGACCAGCAGCATCATCATCATCAGGGGCTGTTCCCCCCCCACCCCGTGTAGCATCACCCCACGTCACCCTGAGGGTGGTGGCGAGGCCAGATGCAAGGTGATGGGCTCCACAGCTGCTGGAGACATTGTCCCATTGGGGTGTCCCTGCCTGGCCACCTAGCTCTGCCTGCCAGCCCCCCAGATTTCCAAGGAGGAGCGTTGAGGAGCTGCTGGGCTTGGAGCAAGCCCTCCCCTCCTCTTAACGAGCTTGTTTTCCAGCGCAGGGTTTCAAGTGGCTCCTTAATTACCCGGGATAAATGCTGCTGCCGTAGGCTAATAATAACTCGGTAGAGCGTGGGCTGGAGTGGTCCAGGCTGCTGAGGACCATCCCTGGAGTGGTCCAGGCTGCTGGGGACCATCCCCAGGACCGGTCCAGGCCGCTGGGCACCATCCCTGGCATGGTCCAGGCAGGCACCTGGACCAACCAGGCTGCTGGGGACCATCCCTGGTGTGGTCCAGCCTTCTGGGGACCATCCCCAGGACCAACCAGGCTGCTGGGGACCATCCCTGGAGTGCTGCCTGCCAGCCCCCCAGATTTCCAAGGAGGAGCGTTGAGGAGCTGCTGGGCTTGGAGCAAGCCCTCCCCTCCTCTTAACGAGCTTGTTTTCCAGCGCAGGGTTTCAAGTGGCTCCTTAATTACCCGGGATAAATGCTGCTGCCGTAGGCTAATAATAACTCGGTAGAGCGTGGGCTGGAGTGGTCCAGGCTGCTGAGGACCATCCCTGGAGTGGTCCAGGCTGCTGGGGACCATCCCCAGGACCGGTCCAGGCCGCTGGGCACCATCCCTGGCATGGTCCAGGCAGGCACCTGGACCAACCAGGCTGCTGGGGACCATCCCTGGTGTGGTCCAGCCTTCTGGGGACCATCCCCAGGACCAACCAGGCTGCTGGGGACCATCCCTGGAGTGGTCCAGGCTGCTGGGTACCGTCCCCAGGACCGGTCCATGCTGCTGGGGACCATCCCCAGGACCAACCAGGCTGCTGAGGACCATCCCTGGAGTGGTCCAGGTGGCTGAGGACCATCCCCAGGACCAGTCCAGGCTGCTGGGGACCATCCCTGGCGTTGTCCATGCTGCTGGGGACCATCCCCAGGCCCAGTCCAGGCTGCTGGGGACCATCCCTGGCGTTGTCCATGCTGCTGGGGACCATCCCCAGGCCCAGTCCAGGCTGCTGGGGACCATCCCTGGCGTTGTCCATGCTGCTGGGGACCATCCCCAGGCCCAGTCCAGGCTGCTGGGGACCATCCCTGGCATGGTCCAGGCTGCTGGGGACCATCCCTGGAGTGGTCCAGGTGGCTGAGGACCATCCCCAGGACCAGTCCATGCTGCTGGGGACCATCCCCACGACCAACCAGTCTGCTGGGAAGCATCCCTGGAGTGGTCCATGCTGCTGGGGACCATCCCTGGGGTGGTCCAGGCTGCTGGGGACCATCCACAGGACCAACCAGGCTGCTGGGGAGTGTCCCCAGGACCAACCAGTCTGCTGGGGACCATCCCTGGGGTGCTCCAGGCTGCTGAGGACCATCCCTGGACCGGTCCAGGCTGCTGGGGAGTGTCCCCATGGCCAACCACGCTGCTGGGGACCACCCCTGGCATGGTCCAGGCTGCTGGGGACCATCCCCAGGACCAACCAGGCTCATCCTCAGCGAAGACACCCGATGGGGGCAGGGATGCTGCCAGGCAGAGCAGAGATCGATGCTCCAGGCTGCTGGGCAACCTCTGACTGGGGCTTTCAAAGTCCAGCCATTGATTGTTATTTTTATATATATATATATATATATATATATTTTATGGTTTTGTTGTTTTGTTCTTTTTGATTTCTTGTGGCTGATGGGGTTGGAGGAGAGCATTTCCTCTCCTGAGAGCCGTGGCCGGCTCTCCCTGAAATCAGCATCTTCTGGAGGTAACGCGAAGGGCCGGTAGCAAAAACCACATGGGTTTGCACTGAAATCGAAGAAATCAAAGCAGGGGGTTTGCTCCCAGCCTGGGGACAGAGGGACCACGCTCAGGTTCCCCCCAGGAAGCACGGATTTGGGACAGATTTGAGCCCCTGGAGTGTAGAGTGGGTGATGCTCTGGTGCTCAAGTGATGAGGGTCTCTACTCCCCCACTGAAATTATTCCCATTCTCCCAAAGTGCAGCAGAGGAAGAGCCAGGGGAAAGCAATCTTTACAGTAGTTTTTTTTAGGATTATTATTTTTTTTTTGCAATGACTCCAGTGTGGAGTGTAGACCCTAAAACTTTCAGGCTGCAGCTGGCGCGGACTCTGCAGCCGTAGTCCCAAAACAGTGACCTTTCAAATCGAAATTCCTTCAATTCTTGAGGTCAGCTTTGAACCAAACCTGACTGGCAGAAGGACACCTAACAAGAATTAAGCTGAGCTGGTCCCAAGTGGGCTTTTCCTTTCGTTGCAAGGCAGGGATTTAAAAGTTTTTTTGGTTTTTCCTTCCCAAATGGCAGGTTGCCACACTGGGGGGGGGTTGCCCCCACCCGGCCGTAACCTCGGCTGAGGTTATTTTCTCTAAGTTTTTAATTTGCTTTTTCTCTCCCTTTCTCTCTCTCCCTTCCCACTCCAGGAGAAGAATTTTATGAAGCTTCACCCTACGAGCCAGTCACCTCTCGTCTCTCTGATATATTCAGACTTGCTTCAATTTTCTCAGGTAATAAAAGCAACACGCTTCGGCTGCTTTATCTTCTCCTGCCCGGGAGTGTAGACCTGTTACCGAGCTCCCTGGCAAGGAAAACCTCAAATCCTTCCCTGGGGTTTTGTCCTTTGCTCCTCCAGTCCCTGGAGAAATCTCTCCCACCCCTCTCTTCTCCCATTATCCCGGACCTGATGCCTTGAGCATCCCTCAGTGGGGCCATGTCCCACCCCCCCCCCAGCTTGCCAGGATGCGGGTGCTTGGCCAAGGGGAGCGATGTAGGGGCTGATTCCTGAGTGTTGCCAGAGTTTCGTGCATTTTGGGGCGGATTCTCTCCTTTTCAGACCTTCAGACATTGCTGGGAGTGGGTGAGCCCCAGCTGAGGTGGGGGCGAGGGGGAGATGCTGGCACAGCCCGAGCTTTAGGGGGGGACCAGACCCTCCCGCTGCCCCATCCTTGGCTTGATGTAAAGCATGGTTTTTCCTTCCCAAATCACCACGCTGGGGGGGGTTGCCCCTACCCGGCCGTAACCTCGGCTGAGGTTATTCTCTCTAAGTTTTTAATTTGCTTTTTCTCTCCCTTTCTCTCTCTCCCTTCCCACTCCAGGAGAAGAATTTTATGAAGCTTCACCCTACGAGCCAGTCACCTCTCGTCTCTCTGATATATTCAGACTTGCTTCAATTTTCTCAGGTAATAAAAGCAACACGCTTCGGCTGCTTTATCTTCTCCTGCCCGGGAGTGTAGACCTGTTACCGAGCTCCCTGGCAAGGAAAACCTCAAATCCTTCCCTGGGGTTTTGTCCTTTGCTCCTCCAGTCCCTGGAGAAATCTCTCCCACCCCTCTCTTCTCCCATCATCCCGGACCTGATGCCTTGAGCATCCCTCAGTGGGGCCATGTCCCACCCCCCCCCCAGCTTGCCAGGATGCGGGTGCTTGGCCAAGGGGAGCGATGTAGGGGCTGATTCCTGAGTGTTGCCAGAGTTTCGTGCATTTTGGGGCGGATTCTCTCCTTTTCAGACCTTCAGACATTGCTGGGAGTGGGTGAGCCCCAGCTGAGGTGGGGGCGAGGGGGAGATGCTGGCACAGCCCGAGCTTTAGGGGGGGACCAGACCCTCCCGCTGCCCCATCCTTGGCTTGATGTAAAGCATTTTGTCTTCTGGAAGATGTGGGATTGGCAGGACACCCTGTTTTTGGGGGAACCAGGGTGGTCCCTACTCTCTGTCCCCCCCCCTCCGGGGCAGCCAGCCTTGAGCCGGGCGATGGGATGCTGCTGGGAGAAGGATGCCGAGCCCTTCGGAGCATCCCTCTGCCTCCTCATCCTCCTCCCGGAAACCCAAACCCCACCATTATCCTCAGGAATTTTTTTTTGCCATCTATTTCCATGACAACCCTCCATGCTGCCACTTCTTTCCCCCCCCCGCCCCCCCCAACCCTTTT